CCAAGAGAAGTTCATTAATTTGACCTTGTCATACAGTCAATTTAAGGTCACATCAAATTTATACAATATGTTGTTTTGTTAGCAAGTCTTGTTTTTGATTTTTCAAGTGTAAATCGAATCCGTACATAATTACAAAATCGAAAAATCAATAATTAAACCTTGACAGAAAAGGTTATTCAAAGCTCAAGATCAATGTCTGTTAAACCTTTTAAGAGCTTTGTTCAAATTGTTGTTTTTGTAAAAATATGAATATGATCAATTTATTAATTACAAAGGTACAGTCCATTATAGTAAAACTCAGAAAAAAAATCAAAAATTTTACCTTCAAAGTCAAGGTCACTTTGAGTTAAAAACATAATGGTTTCATCCATAATAATGTTATTATATAATGTATGTCCATTAAAAATTACAAAGTTATAGCCAATAACACCAAAAAAATAGAGAAAAAATCAATAATTTGACCTTTAAGGTCAATGCATGCTCATACAGTAAAGTAAACATCTTAGGTACAGTGGAAACGCCTAGAGCACAGTGCACGGTCTTAAAGTAAAGTTAAAAAGTCTTGAGTACAGTTAAACCACCCATCGCCCAGTAAACTCATATAGTAAATAACAAACGCATTGAGTACAGTAGAAATGCCTAGAGCATGGTGTTTTTCCTATAGTAAAGTAGAAACGCATTGAGTACAGTAGAAACGTCTAGAGCACAGTGCCTGTTTTTATAGGAAAAAACAGAAACGTCTTGAGTGCAGTAGTAACGCCTAGGGCACAGTGCATGCTCGTATAGTAAAGTAGAAACGACTTGAGTACAGTAGAATTGTCTAGACCAAAGTGCATGCTCATATAGTAAAGTAGAAACGATTTGAGTACATTAGAAACGTCTGGAGCACAGTGCATGCCCATATAGTAAAGTATAACGACTTTAGTACAGTAGAAACGTCTGGAGCACAGTGCATGCTCATATAGTAAAGTAGAAACGCCTTAAGTACAGAAGAAACGCCTAGAGCATATAGCATGCTCATATAGTAAAGTAGAAACGTCTTGAGTACAGTAGAAACGCCTAGAGCACAGTGCATGCTCATATAGTAAAGTAGAAACGCCTTAAGTACAGAAGAAACGCCTAGAGCACAGTGCATGCTCATATAGTAAAGTAAAAACGACTTGCATACAGAAGAAACGCCTAGAGCACAGTGCATGCTCATATAGTAAAGTAGAAACGATTTGAGTACATTAGAAACGTCTGGAGCACAGTGCATGCCCATATAGTAAAGTATAACGACTTTAGTACAGTAGAAACGTCCGGAGCACAGTGCATGCTCGTTATAGTAAAGTAGAAACGCCTTAAGTACAGAAGAAACGCCTAGAGCATAGTGCATGCTCATATAGTAAAGTAGAAACGCCTTAAGTACACAAGAAACGCCTAGAGCATAGTGCATGCTCGTATAGTAAAGTAAAAACGACTTGCATACAGAAGAAACGCCTAGAGCACAGTGCATGCTCATATAGTAAAGTAGAAACGCCTTAAGTACAGAAAACGTCTAGAGCATAGTGCATGCTCATATAGTAAAGTAGAAACGTCTTGAGTACATAAGAAACGCCTAGAGCACAGTGCATGCTCATATAGTAAAGTAAAAACGACTTGCATACAGAAGAAACGCCTAGAGCACAGTGCATGCTCATATAGTAAAGTAAAAGCGACTTGCATACAGAAGAAACGCCTAGAGCACAGTGCATGCTCATATAGTAAAGTAGAAACGACTTTAGTACAGTAGAAACGTTTAGAGCACAGTGCATGCCCATATAGTAAAGTAGAACGACTTAAGTACAGAAGAAACGTCTGGAGCACAGTGAATGCTCATATAGTATAGCACAAACGCGTTGAGTACAGTAAAACACCAAGAACATCGTGCATGCTCATATAGTAAAGTAGAAACGCCCTTTAGTACAGAAGAAACGCATAGAGCATAGTGCATGCTCATATAGTAAAGTAGAAACGCCCTTGAGTACAGAAGAAACGCCTAGAGCACAGTGCATGCTCATATAGTAAAGTAGAAACGCCTTGAGTACAGTAGAAACGTCTAGAGCACAACGCATGTTCATATTGTAAATTAGAAACGCCTTGAGAACAGTAGAAACGCCTAAAGCACAGTGAGTGCTCACATAGTAAAGAAGAAACGCTTGAGTACAGTAAAACACCAAGAACATCGTGCATGCTCATATAGTAAAGTAGAAACGCCCTTAAGTACAGAAGAAACGCATAGAGCATAGTGCATGCTCATATAGTAAATTAGAAACGCCTTGAGTACAGCAGAAATGTCTAGAGTACAGTTAAAACGCCTTAAGTACAGTACAAGCGCCTTGGATACAGTAGAAGTGCTTTGCGTACAGTTTAAACGCAAAGAGTAAAGTAGAGTACAGTCTAAAATTCAGTTAGTAAAAGCGTCTGGAGTTCAGTAGAAATACATTAAGTACAGAAGAAGCACTTTGAGTAGAAACGGCTAAAGTAAGTCAAATCGCCAATAGTAAAATAAATAGAAAAGCCTACAGTACGGTAAAAGCGCTCAGAGTACTGTTTATGCGCCCTGGGTACATAGCATGCCTTTGATGCGTTAAAACAAACATATTGTTAACTGTTTAATGGGAACAAAGAAAGTTTGAAAAAAGCAGTAATTAGAGGTCTTTGATTAGCCAAAATAGACAAAAAAGCATTTTTATGTACCTCCTACAAGAAGTTCTAATATTTCACGTAATTCCGGTGAGTCATCATCTCCCAGGCCAGCACAATCAACTATATGTGGCAGTTTGAGCAAAATTGCATCAATCTTTTCTCTCATTGAATCATCTCGGAAAGTCTTCAGGTAAACACCACAGTTGTAATATCTATATACATTGAATATTTTAAATTGAAACTCTTTAAGTGATTTTTAATAATTAGAAATTATGAAGTTTAATGTTCACCGAAAATGTTTTATCTCACACATGAGAAGATCGAAAGATCCTGACGGGGTTTAAGCCCCTAGCGGTAAGGGGCAAGTTGTTTGACGTCAATATCAATTACTAGTCAATTACTACTCAGCCACGGTCTTTGAATATAAATATCTTAAAATCAATTATCTTCAATAAGTATTTTTCACAAACCTTTCACAGTCAAGGGTAACAGACAGCGCGTGACCGCTTCCAACACGTTTACACTGTTTGACATATTTATTTTCATCACTTATCGTTAAAGATCCAGAATGAGACAGTTCATTTCTTTATGACTGTAGAATTCTTATGTTATCCAATTCGTCCGCGGGTGTTTTACCTCTACACAGCTGTAAAATGATTTTGGTTAAAATTGCCATGTCCCATGTGTTTATGTCTGTTATGCCATTTTTAGAATTATAAATTCGACCCATTTCCTTTTTCTTCATGTTTTTACTATAAAAATATTACAGCGGTAACGGCAGCCAGTGTCAAACACTGGCTGTCAGTACTAACAGGTATCTCTAGCTCTCGGGTGACTGTTTAGTTATCCTCGAGCTCTCGGGTAACTGTTAAGTTATCCTCGAGCTAGAGATTCCGGTCTGTACCGGCAGCCAGTGTAAGATTCTTATATTCTAGCACCTTTGTAAACGGTAGATAATTCTGTCTGAAATGCACTAATTTTTTTGTAATCCTTGCCGTATGGACTTGGAAGTTGTTTCCCTTTGACTGTCTCTTGTAATAAAGAATATAGAGCCGTACATTTTTTGTCCTGTAAAATTATGTCAGTGAACTTTTTTATGCTGTTAAGTATTGTAGCAGATTTTCTAAACTTTTTCCTTTTAATTTCCCTTTAACTTTTACTACATTGAAGACAACAAAATTCACTTTTAAATTCAGATTTTATTTTCACTTTTACATCCAACTATACTTTTTAATCACCTTTTAACAACCTTTTTTAACACTTCTACACTTCACTTCTTTTACACTTTTTACACTACACTTCTACGCTTCTTTTACACTTTTGCGCTTCTACACCTATACGCTTCTCACAAAATAAAGATTGTAATTCACTTATATAGTGTTGCTTCCCGCCAATTTAAGGAGTCATGAATATCATGATATGGAGTAATTCATAAGTGAAATAAATTCCCGCCAATACCAAAATACACAATTCATAAGTTTTGGAGTAAAAGAAATATAATATTTTCCCGCCAAATACAAACAGACATAATTCTCATGATTAGGAGTAAAACAAAATCGTGTAATTCACGACACTCCGGCCAACAAAAATTAAAATATGATATCTTTCACTAAAATAGTACCTATTAAAATTGCTCTTTAAATATTCTCAAAATGCAAGAATTGAAACAAACTTCTTCTTAGAAAATTAAACTCATACTTGCGCAATAAATTTAAACAAATAGTTATAATGAAAACATATTTTTAAACATAATGAACGAAACATACTCCTGTTTTCTTAAACAAATCTTTCAATTTATAAACATTTACAATATCTGTTTCAAAGCAATGTATGTATGTAACATTTAATACATATAAATAGTTCAACTTGTTTCAGTAGTTTTTTTATATAAATGTCTAAGCAACATACGATATAGAACATCCCTTGTTCTGTTGAACTAAAAGTCAGTACCTCAGTACATTATTATTCATTTATTGCATTGTGTATAGCAATGGTAATCGTCTTCATATTCAACGCGACAAAACACAGGTTCTTCCCCTCTATATGTAGTATAATATTGCTCCAAATTATTCGCGCGTAAAATCACCATGTGTTATAACTATGCTCCAAATTATTAAGCGCGTACAGTCATGTGATATGAAATAATTCGTCTCCCTATTTTATTCGTACAATATTTTCAAGGATAAAATAATATTATTCTTATTGTTTTGTAATTCGTGCATAAATATATTCACACTCTATTTTTCAAAAAATAATTCAACTGTTCATACACGCGTATGCGGATTTCCCCAACAACACAAAAGTATTGTCTTTAAATACCTATGGATTGTTAATTACTTAAGAAGATTTTTAAGGCGTAATTTCGCTAAATTTGCTGCCTTTCTCTCGGGACGTATACCAGTTTCTTTCTTTGCGTTTGGTCTTATATCCTCTGTCTCTGGAATAAGAAGTTTTGAAGTTTCAATAGGATAAAGTAAGCTTAAAGGTCTTTTAAGCACTTTTTTGGATGCAGTTTCAATATCTGCAGAACGAACACAACCATCGGAACTAACATACAGATGAATGACTTTTCCTAGCCTCCAGCTACCTCTACTAGTATTATCTTTGATAAGCACTACATCACCTACATTTGGATTGAATTGAACTTTATGTTTTCCTTGTTTTAGATTTGTTTGTGTTCTTTCCCTAAGACTACATAAATATTCGTCTTTCCATATTTTCCAGAAGGAATCTAAAAGCCGCTGTCCTTTTTTCCATATTGCCAACAATTTATCCTCTGAACTTTCTATCACCTTAAAATCGGGGTCATCTGAAGATATTTCAATTTCAGAAAACCCAGCATTCGGGTTTAAACATATGAAGTGTGAAGGTGTCAGCGTGATATTGGAGTTTATATCTTCTCCAACATAAACTAAAGGGCGACAGTTCACAATAGCTTCAACTTCCTTTATGACAGTTATAAGCTGGTCGCTGTCCAATAACTTTTTTCCAATAGATTTACGTAAACTTCTTTTAGTTAAACCAACAAGTCTTTCATAGAAGCCGCCCATCCATGGAGCGATTTCTACAATGAACCTCCATTTAATACCCTCACATGAACTGTAGGTTTGAACATCATCACTTTTCAAAATTGAACTCCATAGCAACTCAATTGTACGTTTTGCCAGCTTAAAATGTAACGCATTGTCACTGATGACCTCTTGTGGTTTTCCTCTGCATGCTATGAATCTCCGAAAACTGTTTAAAAATGCATTTGTTGTCATGTCTTTGACCATTCTAGATGAACTGCACGTGTGACCATACATGTATATAGGCACACCCACACCTTTTTTATGGTTTGATTGTCCCTTATGTATAATGGTCCGAGATAATCCAATCCAATATGACTGAAAGGTGTTGATTTTGTAACTCTTGAACGAGGCAACGGAAGCCATAAGAGGCATTTTATACGCACCTCCTTCAACTCGACGACACAATAAGCACTTATGAAGAACTTTTCGTACCGTAGCTCTTCCGCTCGGTATCCAGTAGCGATATCTAAGTTGACTTAGTGTTTGAGACACACCTGAGTGAAGCAAACGCTTATGTTCCCTTTCGACAATTGACACTGTTAAAGGATCATCGCGAGGTAGCAGTAACGGATGTCTAGCAGACTCCGTTAAACAAGCATTTTCTAAACGACCCTTTGCACCTCAAAAGGCCGTTTATATCAATGAACACACCCAGTTGCTGCTGTAAATTGCATTTTTTCTTTCCTCTGATAGATTCATAAACTTCCAAAAGATGTTTGTATTGCGCATGTTTTATCCACATATTTTCAGCTTCTTGAATTTCTTTTGATGTTGGAATATGTGAATCATAGTTTTCCTTTTTCATATTTACCGATTGCTCTTTTAACATATGCTGTGACACGTAATAGCTTCGTCACCGAAGAATATTTTGTTTGATCAATTTCAAATGGAGCACACGAAGGAAAACATTTGTTCTTTGCTCCATATGCAGAAACACACACATTTTCACTTCTCTTCTTTTCTTTTACATTACATTTTGTTGCTATTGCTTTGTCCATTCTATCATCTTCTTTAAACGTTAACTCATCTAATGTCCTTTCTGAAATGTCTTGCAATAGCCACTCAGGACCATGCCACCATGACGAATTTTTCACAAGATCTTTTGTAGAGCAACCCGACTGGCTATATCAGCAGGATTGTCTCTAGACGTAACATAATGGAAGGACACATGTTTGTGGTTTTTTTATTTCATTAACTCGATTTCTAACAAACAACGGAAGCTGTTTTTCCGACATAATCCATTTTAATGCACACTGAGAATCTGAGAACAAATGAACTTCGTCAATATGCATCTTTATTTGCTCTTGTATAAAGGCTAAACATCGTACCCCTATAAGTACAGCAAGGAGTTCAAGTCGTGGAATACTGATGTTTGAAGTTGGAGCAAGTCGAGTCTTTGAAAATACTATTTCGATGTGCTGTTGTGAATTCCCTTTCTGCATCAAATATATAACGGTAGCGTATGCTTTGGTAGAGGCATCACAGAAACACACAAGAATATTTTTGTTATCACCTTCACTTACAATGCATCGTGGGTTGGCATGTTCACTTATTTCACTGAGATCTCGTTGAATTTCATGCCATACAACAGTGTCTTCTTCGTCAATTGGATGGTCCCAATCGACTTTTTTCTTCCACAGTGTTTGAATGAGTACTTTTCCTCTTAGCGTAACTGGTGAAAATATACCTAGAGGGTCAAATACAGAGGCAATTTTGCTCAAAATGACACGTTTAGTTACACACTGAGTTGTCGATTTATTCACTTTCTGTATCGCCAATGTATCCTTGTGTCTGTTCCATTCAAGACCTAACACTTTAATCACAGTTTCATTTGCTCTTTTTTCAGGTGGAATACTTTCTGTCACGTCTCATTTGTTAGACGCCCACTCGCGAAGATTCATGCTGGCATCGTCGAAAATTCTTTTGGACCTAATATACAAGTCTTTCGCAGCTTCAACGTTTTCTGTTCCCGTTACAACATTGTCCATATAAATATCTCCTCTCAGTTTCTTGGCGATTTCATTGTTATAGCACTCCAAGTGATAATCAATTATTGCTCGCAATCAGAAAGGGCTTGACACTATTCCAAAGGGGATCCTACAGAACCGATATTCTTGTACCTGATTTTGCGATATGTCTGGGTGTTCAATATCTTTTAACCATATGAAACGAGTGACATCTCTTTGATCTTTCTGCGACCCAACTTGGAGGAAAGCCTTCTCTATATCGGAAACAATACCAATCTTATGTAGTCGAAATCTTAGCAGAATTCCACACAAGTCATTCAAAAGCACGGGTCCTCTGTAAAGGCAGTCGTTTAGACTATTAACATTATTTTCAACCTTTGATTTAGCTGACGCGTCATACACAATTCTCAGCTTTGTTGTTGATTTGTCAGGCTTTATCACTGCGTGATGAGGTAAGTAATGGATATGTCCATTCTTTCAGATGTCTCAACTTTTTCTATAATGCCCTTTTCAAGCTGATCTTGAATAACAGAATCATATTTCTGTAATACATCTGGGTTATCTTTGAACCTTTTCACTAATGACTTAAGTCGTCCAAAAGCTAGAGGACGATTTTCTGGAACTTCATAATTGTCGCCTCTCCACGGCCACTTGACATAATATCTGTTATCTTTGAACACCAGACTTTCTTTGAACTCATCTATCGCTTGATCATCCTCAGTTCTTCCATTTGTGCTATCTTTCAATCCATTGTTTCTATATTCCAAAAGTCTTCTATGTCAGGTAATTTTGGAACACATGTGTCAACTGTTGTAAACACTTGTGTCTTAGTTATGTTATTGCCATATGATAATATGAGCATATTGGCATCAGTAACGCTGTCATCGATTTCACTTGTTCTTCCTGAAAGAATCCAACCAAGTTTTGATGACAAAGAGGTATAAGCCTGGCTGAATTTCTATTTTATGTCCTAACACTATATCTAAGTAATAATCATTTCCCAACAGCAAATCAATAGAATCTGTGTATTCTTCAGTCGGTATATCATCCGCTAGAGTAAGATTCTTGATTAACGATCTGAACTCTCCGTTATTAGATATAGACACTGGTTTTCTTTGAATGCTTCCTGTAATTGTTGGAACAATATTTGCTGTTTTAGCGAAATTCTGTCCATCCTTTAATTGAATATTCAATTGCGTAGACATGGTTCTAATCACTTTAGGTTTGTCACTCCCAAATGTAACTAGACGAATCTCTTGCCTACTTTTCTTCTTGAGATTCAAAGATTTAGCCAGTCTCTCGGTTATGTATGTTCTTTGCGACCCTGAATCTAATAAGATTCTTACATTCTCTTTATTTTGACCATCTGGATCACAAATCTCAGTGCGCGATGTTTGCATCATCACTATTTCATTAGAAGATAACAAAGCACTTTCAATACAAGCTTTATCATCCGTAGAATTTCTAAGAATTTCCTTTGGTTTTGCTCTATCTTCAGACACACATGCTACTTCTTCTAACAAATTAACACTTTCTTGCAGAGATGCCTTTCTAAATTTTTCAGGGCATAAGCTTCTGTGGTGTACATTTGATTTATTGCAATATACACAAACAAGTATACTTTTACAGTCAGGAGACATGTGTCCTTCTCTTAAGCATTTGTAACAGCATCCCTTTATTTGAGCTTTTCTTTCGTCGATTGTTTTAAACTTCGGACATTCGTCACTCCAATGATTTTTACTACAGAATCTACATATTCTCTTATGTTGTTGTTGTTTTTGATGATGTGTTAGAGGCGTATGTCCTTTCTTGTCATATGCAGTCAGAGCTCCGGTAGTGTTACTTGTTGTTGAATTACCCCTGTAGCTCTTAAAAGTATTTGTTGATCTTTGAAACTGTGGATTAACTCTTCTATCAGGTACAAAATTAGCACTGACTGGTTTCGGTCTGTCTGACTTTTCTCTGGATACAATATACTGTCTGAGAAACTCACGAAGCTTGGTTATCGTCCACTTATTGTCTGCACCCTTTTGTACTTCAAGATGCATAAGAACTTCACTTGGTAGTTTGCTCCGAATAATTGATACGAACACTTGTTGCTCCAAACTCTCTTGCATAACCTCCAAACTTCTCAAGTGCTTTTGTATTTTGTCATAAAAGAATCGCAAACTTTCAGTCGTATCTTTAGGGGATGCAACGTTCACCAGCCCCTTATAATGCAAATCTATAATGTCTTGTTTATCTCCAAATCTTTCCTTTAGAATTGTTATGGCAATACCGTAGTTTTCATTAGATAATGTCAGTCCAGCGATAGCACTTCTAGCTTCTCCAACCAGCTTTCCCTTTAAATAGTTGAACTTGTCAACTGGCGACAGATTGTCATTTTCATGTACAGCACTAGAGAGAGAGTCCCAAAATTCCATCCATTGCAGTTTATTTCCATTAAAGGAAACTATGTCTAACTTTGGCAATTTGACAGTATTCTCACTCTTAATTTTGAGACTGTGTTGCTTGTCAAAGAATTTCTGTTGCATTTTCATTTGCTCTTCTGCCCGTTCTTGCTGATGTTCAAAGAAGGCTTGTTGAAGTTTCATCTGAACTTCACACATTTTTTGTAAAGCTGATCCTTCTTCGTCCGACTCCTCTTTCATAATATTCTCTGCTATTTTGCTTTTCAGGTCGGTCTGTACATTTTTCAGTTTAAAGGCTATCGACAAAGCCCTATCAATCAAGACTGAATCAATTTCAATCATCTCCTGAATAAATTCACTATCTGAATCACCAATTGCACGCGCTACCTTTTCTGACTGAACAGTAAGCTTATCTATATAAATATCAATCTTAAGTTTACTTTCATTGACAGAATGCTCAAGCTGCTTGTATTCTTCTGGGCTTATGCTCTCAATACTTGTTTCTAATAAAATTATCTCCAGTCCGTAATTCCTTCTCAAGGAAATTAAAGTAGCGTGTGCGCACGTCTTTTAGATATGGTAAGTCACTCATGATTACTATATAGATATTTATAAACACTCAAACAAAATCACAGTAACATTATTCAAAATTTACCTCAGTGGTTCCTTGAATTTATTCAACACTTTTTTTAGTTCACTTTTATATTCCTTTGAGAAACACTTTATTGATTCTGGTTACCATTTCACCTTCAATTTGTTTTCACGCATAAACACATCTCAGGATACCACACATCACTATTTTCTTTGACTGAATCGAGAATCCTTTCAATCCAACTGTAAGATATTTGTTTTCGCATCTCACAGAGACATCATATATACGTTGTGAAGAAATTCTTTTTTGTGGAAAGTCTTCAAATTCTATTCTCGATTTCCGGGTTCCGGGCGCAAAATTCAATGTAGCAGATTTTCTAAACTTTTTCCTTTTAATTTCCCT